GAGCTGATCCTCCATTGCGGCCTACTGGCGCCTTTTTCGGGCCCCGCGGGGGCATCAAGAGTCGATCCTGCACGAGAAGCTGCGCGGTCAAGACCTCTCGATGCCTCGCGCCTGGGTGACCAGTCTCGTGCCCTGGCCCATTCTGGGCGCAGGGTCGGTTCCGACGCCCCTTTGGCCTGACCAGGGAGGCCCATGCCCCTCTCCTGAGCCCGGGGTCGGCCCCGCCTGGATCCGCGACGCCCCCCGACCGGAGCGCCGCCCATGGACGCCGGCGGCGCGGAGGGGCCGGATCCCGCGGGGGCGGAGGAGCCAAGGACGAGGAAAAACGGCGTCGGCACCCTGGCACACGTTCCCGGGGTCCACGCGGATCTCTCTCGGGTCGGTGCTGTGGGCCCCCCGCGCCCGGGCCGGCGCCTCCCAGGCCGCCCCCGCCGCGCTCCGCGCGCCGTGTCACGGGGGGCGTGGAGGGGTCCAGCGGAAAGCCTGGGCAAGCAGCGGGGGCCTCTGGACTCTGGTGTGTGGTCCGCATCTGGCTATGCATTATGTGCAGAAGATGTACGGGGTCGCGGCGTGCTCATACCGAGGGCGACTACGGCGAATCGCCGCCGCACCCTGCGTTTGGGAATCGCCCCATGTGGCCGAGCGTTGTGGCACGAGCTCTGCCAAGTTATCGGACCATGTGTTCCCTGGGCCCCCAGCCGTTGTGGTTACCGTTCAGGGAACGCTCGGCGGAGGATTGTGGGGAAAATCAGCTGGAGGAGGAGGAAAAGGAGGAGAGGAGGAGGAGGAGGTGGAGGAGGGAAGAGGGAGGAGGAGGAGAAGGAGGGGAGGAGGAGGAGGAGGAGGAGAAGGAGGAGGAGGAGGAGGAGGAGGAGGAGGGGGTGGCATCTTGGGAGCCTCTGGGGACACTCTTGGGGCCTCCTGGGAGCTTCCTGGGAGCCACTTCCAATCAGTGCTTCGGCAGTAGCGCGTGGAAATTTGCACCATCGTCGCCACCGCAATAAAAACTATCACAACCACCGCTATCACTTCCCCCAGTCGCATGTAATCTAGGACGGCCTCAATCACAATTTAACAAGTCCACAACGCCTGTGCACCGATCCCTGCAGATGACGATATTGCTGGTGCGGATGATGACGACGTTGGTGAGGACAGTGATGATAACGATGGCGACAGCGATGCGTGTTTCCGCGCCTCCTCACCTCCTTCCTCAGCTCCTCCTCCTTGCTGTCCTACTGCTCTTGTGCATCCGACCTCGTCCTGCCAGTACCTCGTCTAAGTCCGGTTCCTTACGGTCGTCCCTCTTCGTCTTGTTTGTGTTCGCATTATTCCTTCCTCGACCTCCTTATGTGCCTCCTCCGTCTCCTTCACCACCGCCGCTATAGCAACCGCCACTATTATTATCACCACCGCCACCACCATTACAATCGCCATCATCATCGTCATCGCCATCGCCATCATCAACAACAGTTTGGCCATTTGTCATGTCACCATAACCAGCATCCGCATCGTCGTAATCATCATCATCATCATCATCATCATCATCATCATCATCATCATCATCATCATCATCATCATCATCACCACCATCATCATCATCATCATTATCAGCATCAGCATCATCATCGCCATTAGCATCATCACTATCACCATATTCATTGCCAACATTATCAAAATCATCAGCATCGGCATCGTTGACATTATCAGAGTGAGGGGGCTGAACCCAACGGTCATTCACTGCCCCTGGGTGCGTGGCTGAAGTGGAATTCTGCGATGTGGATTATTATTGTTGTTGTTGCTGTTGTTGTGTTTGTTGTTTATTGTTTGTTGTTTGTTGTTGTCGTCGTCCAACCCGCGACCCGCCCCGCGACCCACCCGCGACCCACCCCCCGACCCACCCGCGACCCACCCGCGACCCCACCCGCGACCCACCCGCAACCCACCACGCGACCCACACGCGACCCACCCGCGACCCACCCCGCGACCCGCCCGCGACCCACCCCGAGACCCCCCGGCGACCCACCCGCGACCCACCGGCGACCCACCCGCGACCCACCCGCGACCCAACCTGCGACCCACCCGCGACCCACCCGCGACCCACCCGCGACCCACCCGCGACCCACCCGCGACCCACTTGCGACCTTCCCCGCGACCCACCCAAAATTTCCGGCGCCTGCGGCGGGTTTCTTTTGCACTCGTTCCAGGTGGAGAACCTGCGACCCACCCGCGACCCAAACCGCGCCCGCGACCCACCCTTGACCCACTGCGACCCACCCGCGACCCACCGCGACCCACCCGCGACCCACCCAAAATTTTCGGCGCCTGCGGCGGCCTTCTTTTGCATTCGTTTCAGGTGGAGAACCTGCGACCCCCCCCCCCGCGACCCAAACCGCGTCCAGTGTACAAATCAAAATTGTCGGCGCTTGCGGCGGGCTGTTTTTGAATTCTTTCCAGGTGGAGGTGGAGAGCCCGCGACCCACCCGCGACCCAAACTACGTTC